TGGCGCGTACCCAAGTGATGTCGGCGGGCGGTAGTTAGTTGTCGTGCTTATGATGCATATTTATTACATATAAAATTAGCTTCAATTAACGACTCGGAAACTATTCGACGCTAACCTACCTGGGCCATTATGCTAATGTTTACGTAATAACACCATCCCGATCATCATCAAGTTTAAGTACTTGCATTTTCCCATTGTACTTTCTAACTGAAGTCCGATATTATTAGTGAAATGTCTTCGTCACAAAGCCATCGTTACAGATTAAGATAAAGGATTGTAGTTGAAGCGCTATTGACTTTCTATAATTACGCTAACATTAGCAGAATTGCCCTACTAAACTTATGTCTAGCAATTCATGTTGTATTATATTGACCTTACGTTTTAAGTATAAAATAAAGAAGTCATGCCGCGTGTTTCTATCCAAATTTTTACTCTCGCATACCTATCTACAACTGCTTTCATAATAGAGGAACGTTTTGCAATACATATTTAAGATACAAAATTATGATTTACTATACAAAAATAAATAACGTCGATAAATAAAATAGTAAAAAAAAAAACAAATTAAATGTCAGTCCAACATGACACTACATCCCGATAAAGGTAGGTAAAGACTAGCCTCAAAGTCGTAACATTTTTCTATATTTTTTTCTGTTGGCTCTAAAATAATTAGTTTAGAATAAAAAAAGAAAACAGAATAAGGACATTTTGTAGTAGTAAAATAAATGTTTACTACTACAAAATGTCCTTATTCTGTTGAAATTTAAGTTCAAAATGAACTGCAAAAATTTTGCCTTTTCATGTAGCCAATGTGCTGATGTATATAACAGTGTATAGCAGTACAGTGATGGACAAATTGTTCTCAAGATTAATGATTGTTGTAATTTTTATTAATCTAAAACTAACTGTTTAATCTTCGATACTTTACTTAACGCTATGCGGATAGCGCTACGTATCGTACAAATGATATTTTACGTCATCGTCTGTGTTTTCACCTGTCCTGAAAAGCACTACAGCAATTTTATATGAGACTGACACAAAATATAATTGTTTTGTGATAATACTACATTCCATAATTACATTAATAACATTTGTGCGCCATTGCTACATTATTTACACAGTCGAATAGATATAAAAAAATTAAGTAATACTTTTTTCAAGAATTTTTATTCTCCCAATCGTAAAAGTAGTCGTTACACGTTATCTTCCAGTTAAAAACATAAAAAACAAAGCACCAAATAATAACATTGAGCAACGATTAGGTAGAACAATATAAAATAAAAATATAACAACCTCATTTGTAGTAAAATTTATATTAGGCTATATATGTATGTATATATATATATATATATATGCATGTAGCGATATTCAATAATAAAATGAACCAAAAACATATCAATTATTTATATTTTTATTCATAGGCCGAAAAATAGGCACTACTTCTAGATTGTAACGGATAAAATAAAAAATAATTTACTGATTTAAAAAATCATCTCGCTAATAAAAATTATGTCATCGGCGAGTATAATCTCGGGGTCAGCTAACAGATGATAAATAAATATAAAACAGTTGAACGCCTGTACATAACGAGCTATAGACATCGACCAGTGAATTCGACTCGCTCTTATACAGGGTTCGCAAAAATCCAATATTTATGTAAATATAAAAATAACTATCGATATTTTTAGGATAAATACATTTTCATGTCGCACTATCACAATATAACTATTTTTTCAGATACTTTTGTGTTTTTTTTGACCCATTCTTTAGAAAATAATTAAATGCTCAAAATATAATATTATTACATCATTTTCTAAATGTAATACGACAATTTTAAGACATGATGTACTTAGCTATAATTTAAATACGATAACCATAACTGTAATAGTCATTTCCCTGATATTAATCTTTTGCCCTCTATAAAACGGTTATTCGACATCCTTATCTTTTTGGAGATTTTACTAATTGAATAATACATATTTTATTAAGAGGATTAAAGTTAGTTAATTTTTGCGAACTAACTTCAAAATGAAGGAAGGTATTATTTCATTGAATATATGTTTTTCACAATTCATATTCACTTTGTCATGCGAAATGTCACCATTTTTACAAACAAAACATTCTCTTTAAAATATTAAATACACTATAAGTAATTATAACGACAAATTCTTTACATACTCTTTGAGGGTAGTAAAATAAAAAAAATGTAATTTTCATTGTCATTATAATTTTCACAATTGTTTCTAGGAAATTAGAGTGTGTGTAAGTACTTTTATAAGTCGGGTTATTAGATTCACTCAATAGAAAATTTATATTTTCTACGTTCAAACTGTATTATTATTATGTTTTGTCATTATTACCTTATAAAGTCACTTTCGGGTTTTTCATCTTTAAAGATGAAACTACTTTGGGTTCCATTGTGTCTAGGAAATGTTTTGTGTACTTTATTAATTGTATGCTGGAACCCCTCCAGATAGGATGAATCTACATTTTGCGTTAAAAATGTAAAAAAAATTAAGTCTGTTTCGTTATTATGATCTCATAAAGTCTCTTGCGTGTTTTAAATTTCAAAAATGAAACTACTCTGGGACAAATTTGGGCCGTCTCCCTTGACAGTTTTGTAAAATCGAACATACTGTGATGTGCTGTTGCGTCAATTCAATTTATCCAATAGATTTACATACATAGTATCGAAACTGTGTAATGAAATATAATGAAACGAAAGATTATTCATTGAACCGAGAAACGAGGACGATGTAACAGATTTTTTTTTTCTTTTAATGTGACAGTGGCACATTATGATGTAATACATTATATCTTTATCACAAAGGGAAGATATTCAAATATGTTATCTCTTTGGCCACACTGAAGGTGACTATCTTACTGGACGCCTTTTTTATTTCTATTACAATTTGCTATGAGTTCAGTTAATTTCACTCCTATCAGAAAGAACTAGTCCCTAAATGAGATATTTTCAATTACTAATCCAATTTCAAAGGTATTCAACTTTTTATCACAAGAATATAAAATCAATTTTTACTATTATAATCAGTCAAATGCTAGATTTGTCGATTATTCAATAAGCTATGAGTAAAAGAGAGATCAAAAGAAAACTAAATCCTATCTAGTTAATTACAACAATGTGAAAAGGTGAAACTTTCTCATCCTTTTTCTTTTCACATCGTATAACGGAAATTTTCTTGTTGCCTACATGCCGACAAGTTTGCGTTACATTTGAGGTTCCCATAAAAGGCCAAGAGCTCTGATTTGCCTCAATATTCCATAGTCCGTGTCTGTCTGCCACACTGTTAACTAAATGCGAATAGAATTTCTCATTTCTATATTAAACCAGAAGTACACACATATCCAGACCAGTGTGATTCGCCCTTATCGTGCCCATGTGTAGTTCAAACGATAAAAGTCTCACAGTCTCACACTCAATTAAGATGACATCTGAAGGCCTATTCTATTTCTACGCAAGGGAAATTTCATTTATTAAAAAAAAAAACAACTCCAAACAAACTCATTTTAGGTACGCAACGAAGGTAGGTTCTAAAACTACCTCTGATGCACAGATAATTTTCACGGATATGATTATAACAAAATTATAAGAAATTTCGTCCGAGAACAAATAGAACAGGATTCGTCAGATGTCATATTAATTCTTATAAGAGTTATTGTATATTCACTATATCTTACAACGGCAACACGACTTCAACCCTTTAATGTTAACTCGTATTATTATACATAAATTTTATCACATATAGATAATATCAATAACTGTCTAGTAAATACATCGCAAAAATGTAAAATATACATATTTATCTTCAAAGAAATCCATTCCTTTAATTTTTGCACGATACATAAGAAAATACGAGTTAACTTCTCTCTAATATTGAGATTCTATATACCTATTTCTTTTTCTTATTGAAAATTGATATTTTACATAAATAATCTAGCTATTATGCTTGCACACAGCAGATTCCATAGTAATTTTAAACCTCAATGGTTTCTTTAAATAAATCAAAACTAAATAAAAGTATGCAGATTGAAACAGAAAGTCTCTTTTAGTAATATGTATTCATTGCAGTTCAGATTTATCAGAGCGATTAGCAGGTGACAAACGTAGCGTGGTAAACCTAACATACCTTAATTCAACTCCATTGTGTTTACAGAAATTCCATCTGTTACGTGAGCATTCAAATTATGGCAACTCAAAACCATCGGAGACAACGGACCAATTAAGGTTGAACTTTGTCGATATGTAATAGTGACCGCGAATAGAGTTATCATCTTTTCGGTTTTCCCAAGACCGGGAGAATCGGTCTCGTCTATTGTGCGGAGTTGAAACATATTGTAGTCTGATTACATTAATCGAAGATAGATATGTAAATATCTTACAGCCAAGAACTAGGTTTTCCATATCCGAGTACTATTTCACAAATAATAGCCCTATCAAAAACTTGTAAATAAAAAAATTAAGTCATTTAAACTACAAAATTGCCAAAGAAGCCTAAAAAAATATACCAAGGCATCCTAATATATATATACAGGATTATTTGTAAAATAACAACACCATATATAAAAATGCTTGTTTTATGACTGTTGATAAATTAGTTACAAAAATTAGAAAAAAATATATTGAATTTAATTTACCATCCAAATGTTAATAACCTTGCAAGCATCTCGTGATAAGAAGATAGTTCACAAAGCGTCGTAATATGACTTTAAACCCTATGTTTTGTAGGTAAAGTTTAAAATCAACTGAAAAAATTTGACATATTGTAATAACCTGCCGTGCAGCAAAATGAAAGGTACTGATTTAAAGTTAAACTCGTACAAGACAAACTTTTTGTTTGTTATACTAGTCATCTAGTCAAGCGTGTTTTCTGGTATTTAACTTATAACCCTGTATACAGAGATACAGAATTTGCTATTGTATTGGTGTAATCGCGGCAGTAACAATTAAATTGGATATAGTTAGATATTAGAGTAACTTCTCAGACAGGAGTGCCAAAGTCTGGATCTCCGTCGCCTGCGAGTAGGCACGGGAACTTGCCGCGCTCCGCATCGCCGTTAGTGACGGGCGCCGCCGCTGTCACTCTACGAGCTGACCCTATCCTGTTGACGACATTTCCTACATAACTGGACTTTTAAAATAAAAAATAAACATACCTTAGCTTATAACAAATTTATTACTAACTGCTGGAGTCCCATTTGAAGCGTGACAATTTCTGGGCCTCATAGAGGAACCGAGGTGTAGGACTTCTTGATAACTAGTGGTTGTGAGTTTTGCACCATATTTAGGTTTAAGGATCGAGCGTAATACTGAAGTTAGCATTTCAATGCAATGGATTATATGTCCAGTGTGCAAGGTAGAATGTCATATCATAAAGAAAATTACACTCGGCAGTTCTTTTAGAATTTCATTCCGTGCATTTGTCAGCGCGCGTAACATGACAAACCTTTGTTATAGCCAGAGGTCGGAGTTATTTATGTACTTGCATCGAAATGTTGATATTGTATTAATGTGGACCTTCGTGGCAACATCGCGCGTATTGGCATTTTGCAACTTTGGACATCCGATGTCATTGATGTAAGTTTGGCAACGTCGTGCGTGCAGTAGTTTAAATTGTCTAAAAGTAAATAACTTTTTATTTAAAAAATCACGGGATTTTTTCTGCTCTTTAAAATTAATCTCGGGATTTGAGGCATATCCACTTTATTCTGTCGCTGTATGAAATCAGTGTAAGTACATGAATAACTCTACCTAATTCCGACCACTGGTTATAGCTAATTGAGTATTGTTTACACTAAATATCACTTTTCTCGGGTCGAGAGTAATCAAGACATTTGGGTGTAGAAAAATCGTTCTTGAATTTGTCATAATACTGCAGTTCCGACGTAGACGATATTTATTTCGTCAGATATAAACCCACAGAACACAGAAAGACGTTAGAAGGGCCTTGTGGGCGTGGCAGTAGAGCCACGATCCTAGACAAATGTACAGGATCGTGACTTCACCACGCGATCGCGATGTTTAGTCATTCACGAACGCGCGCGCTGTAAGTACTGTGAAACACGCCACTAAAAGTGTTAAAAATGCCGACTTTCGCAGTTATTAATTGCAAAACAAGAAGCCCATCCTCAAGTAGGTCCAAAGGAAGGATTTCTTTCCATTATTAAGTAGAACACTTCTCAAATTTAGTATTTTTAGTCGAAAATCGTGAAATGTTATCAAAAGTGTGAATCACAAAAAATATTTCCAAGAAAATATACATTGCTGGAGAAGTGCGCATATTTATTACATTGCGTCGTACTAAGCACGTAATGTAATGAATATCGCGAAATTACCGTTTTAAATAGCAACATAATAGATTACGGTAGATGGGTAGTGAAGTGCCTGGAAACATTTAATCGATTCTTGGTATGTTAGGTAGTAAAAACTAAATAAAAGTATGGACAATAAAAATAGTGGTAATAAAAAATAAATTTAATCAGAGATTAACCATATTGACTTCGTTTGGAATGCGTTTGTATATTAATTTAATAATGAGTGTGGTAATAAATCTGTTATTATATTCTTAATATTGTAACAGAAAACTAGTTTTTTTTTTTTTATTTTGAACCATTAACAGCGATACTTTTTAAATCATCGGAGTCTGTTCAGGATAAGTTCCAATAGCATTTATTGTACTGATAGTATTTTTTTATTTTGTATATATTTATTTACATTATATTGTTTGTCAATATTACTAGTTTCATTTAAGCGATGTTGCCGATCTTATCTGTTTACTTGATACGAAATCGAGTAACGTAACGTAAAAAAAACCTACTATTATTATTAATAAACAAACATTTATATGCATATATTTAAGCTCGACTAGTACCGATTCAATGTTAGTTCATTAGTAATTTAAATATTTCTTATTGAATCAACCAACTAATTAAGAATTTATATCTAAAGAAAAAAGATAATGTCTCATATAATCAATACAATTCAATGTATATCCAATATAATATAAAGAAATCATTAATCTAGTATCCTTTCAATTAATCGACTTGTTGTTTTTCAATATCGATAGTAAATAACTTTATGTCAATCACTAGTGTGATATGTCAAATTAAAATGGCTTTTACACGTTTATTGCGCACTATAGATGTCTGTTATGGTTGAGCGTGATTGGTTATAGTTATATTGGAGCGTTCTGATTGGCATGTTTAAAATACAAGTGTGTGCATATCTTTTGTATAATTGGTCTGATTATTCGTCTGATGTACGGCGGACTAAAAGTGGGGCAAGACTGGCTACATCGGTTTTCGTACAAAGGATGCATGATCGCCTTTCTAACCTCTTTTTCGTGTTCTGTGTATAAACCGACCCTGAATATTATTCAAATTAGCAAATCAGACTACGATAGTTATCTTCGACTCGATTAAGATAAAGTATTTTTCTCTTGCAGTAAAAAGAAATGTGCGTTTAGCATTCATCTCGTACTCACCTGAACCCTTGGCTCTCTCTCCGTATCAGTTTGACCTCACCGTTGGTTCTAATTTGTTTGGGTTCTAATTGTAACAGGGACGGCGCGGGCTCGGGCGGAGATTCTCTCGCATCCGGCGTCACTAACGACGGAGATTCCATTGCTACACAACATTGGTCAACGATTAATACTTTTATTTAAAATATCAAGTATAAAATTTACGTGACTCGGTCTGTGTCTGAAAAATAAAAGTTAACCTTAATTCCTTCACCCTCTTATTCAATCGCAATCAAAATTTCATCAGCTCTCAGGGTCGCTTTGTATGAACGGATATTTAATTGAAAGGCTGGTCGTTTGAACTGGCATCTCCCGACATTAGGTGCCAAAAACAAAACAGGATTGGATCGTGCAATTGATAGGAAAGCTTGGGAACATATGTGAATATGGAAACCTTTAAATTTTTCCGAAAACTCAGTAGTAGAATTGATTTAGTGTACTTAGTGGTAGACCATATTTTTTCTAATTTTATAGCACCTTTCGCCCGCGTGGCTTACACGAATTAGAACTCCTGTTTAACTCGGTTTGGGGTAGAATTTTTAAAATCCTTTTTTATCAAACCGCGTGTGTCATACACCTCGATCCATCCAGTAGATTGAGTTGTGCGTTGATAGATTAGTCAGTCGGTCGGTCCCTTGCCTTAGTACCTAAGTTACCAATGTTTTTATTTATTTTTACATCCTTAATAAAAAATGCTTAAAAATACTATTTGCCTCTGGCATTCTGAGATGACACTCGAACCCATGACCTTTCGCAATCCGGACGACTGAGCTACCCAGGACCCAATAGGACTGAAGAGTTTTTCAAGCACTCGTTACTTTTTCGCTACTACGGAGCATATTTTCAACAATGTTCAGGCAATCCACCCAAACAGCCGAGAGAAATATTTTTACAAATATTTAAAACTTTCGATTATGATGAAAATTTGTTCTAATTATTATATTTGATCAATTTTGCATTTACAATGCTATACTGAAAAATCTTCTTAATGAAATATGTATTTGTACATTTCATTAAAACAATTAAGAAAGCTATTGATATAATATTTTTGATCTCATTAGTGAAAAAAAAATTTACACAAAAAAACCTCTCATGCATTTGACTTCTATTATTAACGGCTTATCTGCGCGTTTAAGCACAATTCTGCCGATTCCAAGTGATTACATTAGTTAAATTAAAATTAATTAATTTCTGAATAATGAAAGATTGTGATTCATTCACATTCGACTATTTGTTTAATCAACGTAAATTAGCTAGATAAGTGATAGTTATTTTGCCCCGATTTTCTCTTAAAACGTTATAAAACCTGTTATTTATACATAAACCTACTCTTAAAGAGCCGATTACGATCCAGCTGTAATAATATATGCAGTCGAGTAGCTCGGTAGCGTACATAGAACAATATTCAAATATGTTAAGCAACATTCGCAAGGGTCGGTCACAAGATGGGTGACCAAAATATTATCTCGAGCTACTCCGTGCTTCGGAAAGTCGTTACTTCCGGCTGCATTTGCAGTCGTTAATACCCTCCAAACCGCATTGGACCATCGTGGAGCGGGGACGTAAAAGGGCTGATGATGATGAACAATATAGGTATAGTATAACTAATTTTTAGCACCCTATATAGATGTTTGCGTAAATACCTGTATCAGGCGTGGGTGGTCGTGCGATATGTTCATCTGAGGAGGGCGCGTCCTCCACGGCTCGGTACGCTCCCTTCGTACGCCAGTCCTAATGAAACCATCGGCATAATACAATAACATTAGTGTTGCCATACGTCCCGTATTTTAGGCGAAAATTCAATATCCGAGACCGACTCTGTCCCGTCAAATCAAATTCGTTAAATGATTTACGAAATAAATATCACCCAACTTAATAAAAAGCGAATTAATGTCTATATAAGTATGATTTTAAATGTATAGTTTTTTTTATCTGTCAACTTCGACAAAAATAAAACGTTCCTCTGAATAATATCAATTTTCCGTATTTGTTTATCTCGTTAAACATTTGTACCTTACAGGCTTATATATGTTACGCTCAAAGATCGTAAACGCTCAGTGAGCGGAAAAATAGCTCACACCGCGTTGTGGTCACAGTAAAACATCCACATGGCGAAATTCGTGTTATGGCTCTAATGAAAACGCGCACGACGCGTTGTGGCAATCACAGAAAGACCAAATAGCGAAATTCGTGTCGTGGCTGACATGCTATTCGATCTCAACGCGTTGTGGCAATGAAGAAAAGCCATCACGCGTATGGAATATTATTTGATTACGACGCACACTACTTTCTAGGCCTAGGCTGGAAACGTTTTGGTAGATGTCCTTAGGAAATATTTTTTATTTTATAAAATCACTGCATGACGTGTTTGTTATTATGAAATATATTATATAAATTAAAATAAAACGATATTTGTTGTTTATTGAGATTACTTTATATTTAAAAAAATCAACGTATTCATATTAAGTAATAAATTACTGAACACGAAATGTTAATCATTTGTAAATTTCTTACAATTCACTTAAAATAATTAGGGATTTTAATTTTTTATGACAATTTAAATTCTTTCAAGTAATAAAAATATTTAACACAAACATAAATGTTTATTGTCCACCAATAAACAACAATAATGTATTTAAAATAAGTATTTGATTGCTATTTATTTTTACAGGAACTATTACTGTGGCATTTGAAGTTGCATTTTATATTATTGGAGCGACACTTGCACTTTTTATCAATACAGTATCTTTTGCAGTGGCACATTATAAACCCTTGCTTACTTCCAGATGATGATGATATAGATGCTGAGCGGAGTGTTAACGACGAAGTTCGTTACAACCTGTCCGTCGTGATATGGTTAAAACCTAAAACAATGAATGCTCAGAACGCATCATGGCTTTTTTCATTGCCACAACGCGTCGTGCGCGTTTTCATTAGAGCCATAACACGAATTTCGCCATGTGGATGTTATACTGTGACCACAACGCGTTGTGAGCTATTTTTCCGCTCACTGAGCGTTTTCGATCTTTGAGCGTAACATATATATATAAGCAATGTATGCGGTGTAGTCTATATATTTTATATATATAATTTTATATATAAAATATATAGACTACACCGCATACATTGCTCAGATTCTTATATAAGTAGCTAAATCCCTCGTATTATGAAGTATCTGAAACAACGAAGGTACTGCAACACCCAGACCCGAGACAATACAGACGAAAACATTTTTATGAAGACCGACTGTACGATTAATATTTATAATGAGTCCTTTTTATTGACGTTGAGGTCTCACAGAGCTGTCACAGCAAAGAGCCTCAATAGAATAAAGCATTTATTTCATCCTGAAATAGGTTTCCTTCGACGTCTCATTCGAGGCTGTTTTAATTACAAACTAGCACTGTATAGAAAAACAAAGATTTTCAAACTTTTTATTGTCATATATACACAAATATAGTTACAAACGTTATTAATCAATTTGATCAAAGTTTAAAAATCTTTCTTTAATTTACATTAAGCATATGAGTTACTTGTAATTTATATTAAGCATATACTAAAATTTGTTACAAAACTCCAGTAAATATTAGTCCAGTCATTCATGTCCGTTTTTTGTAAAACTGCATCGAAACATTTTAAATTAATTAATTCAAAAATTCAAACAATTCCATGCAGTTTCACAGAAATCGGAAGTAAGGCACTATTTTTACATTCAGAACGTGCGAATCACAAAAGAACATGCGTATTACAAAAACGTCAATTATTTTATTCTTTACAGTACTACTTCATAATTTTTAAATTATAACGCGCGTAAGTGTTAATAAACATATCCAAGTTCGATAATTTCTGTAAATTTATCAAAAGTATAGTGTACAGACGGATATGTCACCTGTGGTTTCCGCTTCTTCTTGGTGTTTGGTCGGCGCGCGTGCACCGGCGTCGACTGTGACTCGTCGGACGTCACCTGACGTCCTCCAATCGGCAGCTGATGCCGACAATACGATATAAAAGTTAATAATTCTATAATGATCAATTGCACAACCGTCCATTATGGTTTAATGACGCCTTTAAGCTGTATAGAATGTCAAAATTGTATGGGTAATGTCGCTTTATACTAATGACACTTTAAATGGACGTTAGTTCAACTGGCTGTATGTCCCGTAAATTGCTAATGCGCTGGAAGCTCATTTAAATAACAGCCGAGTGACGTCATTGCAAAATGGAAAGTATAGATATCACAAAAAGCAAAAGATAAACTGAACTATTTATGAATAATTCATAAAATATTATAACAATAATTATATTAATAAGGTATCGATTGTCAATTTATTGGATGAATTTTTTTGAAAAAGGTGATTCATATGTTGATATTGAGGTATATAGAAAATAAAAAAATAATAATAATATCTATCATTTTTTAGAACATAATCAAAAGTAATAATGAAGTGAGAGACTTTAGATATATTTATTTTAAGTGCAATTAAATTTACTTATTCTGAAAATCATAATAGCAGTTGCCACTTTAATCAACCATGACAACAAAACTTAACAATAACTTAACAAAACAAATCAGACATTGCAAATCATAACCGGACTCAAAATGAAGAACGGTGGGAACCTTGACAAAAACTCACGCAAACTCAAGTAGTGAGTATTGCTGCCATCACACTCCAATTACTATATTATAAATAATAGGTATTCTTTTTTACTAAAAATAATACGAATACAAATATGTAGCGACACATCAAAACAAGTATTGCACGCGCAAACATTCCCCACGCCCCACGTACGCCAAACAAACAAAAAAGCTTTCAAGCAAACCGTACGTCGTAAATGTTCCGTTTCTATTTATGTTATAAAAGTTGTGAACCAGAAACCGATACGGATGTTAGAAAACAATCGAAACTTCTGCAGTTGGGAAATCAGAAGCAGATTTTTATCGGCCCTAGTGGTATTACGACTACGACTAATCAGAATCCATACTTATTACTCATATTTTCACGTGGACTACTCGTTAATGAAATAAAAGAGTTATAAACTTTTATCGTATTTTTGTAAAGTGTAAAAAGTTCTGCATACTAAAATATTTGCGCAACAAAGCTTTCAATATCAAACTTAAGTTTGGTCCTTCGAGCTGGATCTGAATAAGCAACCCATACCAATCTAAATCTAATAAATAATGTGAATTGTCCTTAAAAAACTAACTAATAAATTACATAATAATAAATTGACTAACCTCTAGTCGGGCCTCTATCTTGATATTGTCGTCGTCCATATCGAGTATGGCGAGATTATTATTAATAGAGTTGTAATCTGGGTAACCGCCACTTTCCGAGCCCGCTGAGCCCACCGAGGCCGCAGAACCCACTTCTGAACCAGGCCTACAGTAAAATACTACTTGATACAATAAAATACTATTTGATTATAATCTTATCGATTATAGTACATTTACATTTACAATATTTAAACAATTATTTAAGTGAAATTTGAATAAAACCATTAATATTTATTTACCGGTTATTATAGTCTGGAGTCCGAGGTGCAGTCGGAGTAGCTCCAGACCCATCCGGTTCCACGCCGTACACTTCACCGTCCTCAGGATATAACGGAAACCTTTTGCGGTACAACAATACACACATATACTATAGATTATCTTATTTGTGCTTTTTGCACGTTGATAATGAAGTAATTAGATTATAGATTTTTTTCAACATAACTGTCAAATATTTTCAATAAATTTTAAGTCTTAGTTTGTTCAAAATAAAGTTCTATATCGATTGCATACTAGTGATTTTGTTAAGAATTTCCCTTCGAGGTAAAGTAGTATTGTGAATACAAATTGATTAAATACATATGCCAATTACAACACATTTTCATAGTAATTGAAAGTTATCTCTCTCGCTCTTTCCGCTGTTTAGGTGACAAGTGATCTATTAGAGCAGTCGCCCTGATTGCGAGATTATGGGTTCACTTCCCATTTAGAACTAGGATTGGTTAATTTTTTTAATTATTCTCCTTTAATGATAAAATATCAATGATTAAATTTACTAATATTACCTATAATTATCTTCCGAAAGACGATCGTCATCATCTGTCGCTATAAACTGCACACAGAGAGCGCAGTCACCCTTTACACTTTGCAACGCCTGCACAGCTTCTTTATGGCATGCCTGATAATGTCAAAAAATATGAAACGTTTCTTATAAATGTCCCTGCGGCAATTACGCCAGCGGTGTAATAAAGCCCACCTTTGAAATATCGTATTAAAAATACTTCTGTTCCTGTTCAAATACCACTCACGCATGCATAACATGGAGTAGCTATCAGTGGAAAAAGTACAAACTTTTAAGTAAGGCCTTAATTCCCGCAGGTATCTATGTTAAAACAATATAATGGTATTACATAAGTGAAACTTTGTATCAGTCACCTATTTTTATTTATTTTACACACGCACAGACACAAAATGCTACATACATTTACATATGCGACTTCTAGAGGAAATTTCAATTTGGTGCACTTTACATTTTTAAATGTTTTCGCCGAGGTCTCCCCACTAGGTAAGCACACATCTAGGGATACCAGCTTTTTTTAGAACCAACACGAGGCAGAATATTCATCCGCCAAGAAAGATTCCAGTACAAGACAAAACATGGTTTTAGGTTTATTGCTATGCAATAAAATTGAAACATCAATCAACTCACAAATGTGATGTGAAAATAGAGACAAAATTTATCACGTTATTATCGGTGGCGCAGTGGATAAGCGCCGCGGCCCGCGATCGTGGTTGTTAAGCAACTTTCGCAAGGGTCGATAACGGGATGGGTGACCAAAAAATTATTATCTCGAGCTACTCCGTGCTTCGGAAGGCACGTTAAGCCGTTGGTCCCGGCTGCATTTGCAGTCGTTAATACCCTCCAATCTGCATTGGGCTAGCGTAGAGGGTCATGGCTCATCTTCCTTACCCATAAGGAAGGCCTGAGCCCCAGGAGGGGACGTAAAAGGGCTTATGATGATGAAATATAAAAAATCTGCTTCAGTTCGTTGGAAAAATTGCCATTTGTTTTGATAGGTCATGACTACTTATATAATTATAATTTTTGTCTGCGTTTAGTAAAATAATTATTACGAGTACATAAAAATACAAGTGTTACCTGTGTTAAATCTACATCGTTAATGGCTAATATAGCGTCACCGACGTATAGTTCGCCGGTGAGTGCAGCTGGACCGCCCGCCTCCAGCTCCGATATCAGTATCGGTACACCGTGCTCTCGACCGCCCTGTGGGGTATTTACAGGGACAAATTAACAAACATATCAAAAATCCGCAATCAATTTTAAATTAACATCAATTAGAAGGCGACGTATTTAATGATATTATTTGTTTGTTGGATATAGCCATTTTTCATTATTTTCATATCAGCGTTCAATCGTTCAGCCGAATAAGATATAAATGAGACAAGATAATCTGCTCTGGTGCTGGTTTCTCTAGTCCGCCGTACGGAACTGACGGCGCTACGGCCGCGGCCGTGTGGCTTTTAAGGTAGTCGCAATCAGTCGCGGTTAGAACGCTGTTATCAGATATTGTGTAATTTTCAGCATTTCGCTGATGTTTTCCCATACTTAATTTTTTATAATTCTTATCTTAAATCAGGGTTCGCAAAAATCCGATATTTATAATAAATATCAAAATATCCGATATATATCATACATATGAAAAGCTGCGATTTTTGAGCTGCCAGTGGCTTCAAATATTAATGATCTTTTAAATCAAGTGTAAAATAAATATTGAGTTTGAGTTATGTAATATTTGTTTATTTAGTATGAAATAATTACAATTAGTATGCGAGCGAAGATTTCCAATAACCTACAGGGAAAAATTTATGTTGCTAGCGTCAAATTTAAAGTGATTGTGAATTTTTTTAGACAATTGGGCCACAGGACGTTAATGTGTCTGTCGCACTCACCGTGACTGAGATGCCGAGTCCGAGGTGTGGCGACCGCCGCACGCGCACAGTGCGCGGTCGGGCGCGGCGCGCGGCGGCGGCGCGGGGCGCGGGGGGCGCGGCCGGCCGGGGCGACGCGCCGCGGCACACGCGCACCAGCGTCTTGTGCCGCTGCAGCAGGATCTCCGCCTCCACCTGACCACCACAAATATACACACCTACAGAATGTGCAATGACCATGAATACGCAGATTTCAAATTTTGAGTCTATCACGAAGCAAACCCTAAACTTTGCTCCTGCACGCGTGCATGATAAACTCCAGAAACGATTTGTCTACAACACCAAACGCTTTATTCTCTGGTCGACTGTGAGATATCGTATGGTCTTACCCGAGAAATGTGACATTTGGGAGTAGACAAAAGGTAGTTGAGTTCGTCATGCTGTGCGTGGCGTCTTGGTTAGTTTTGCATATTGCCAATACTTGGTAGATTTATATGCAATACGAAGCGACACCGACACTACACCACAAGTCGAGTGGAGGGACTCCTCGTTTCGGTTGTATTCTTCATGTTGCTAACATGATTGTCCCAACCTTATTGCATCCACAACGTGAGTCACCGTTGCTGAGCTCAGAAATATAGAGAAAAGAACACAAGCTCACATCTAAACATTCGCAAAATCTAAAATAAATATCGCACCTCAATAAAAAAACGCTCACCTGAGCCCATAACGAATCTCTGACCTCCGCGCGCATGTCGCGTCCTAGCAACTGCAACTGTTGTATCCTGCCAGCCAATTCCTTATCCAGATACTTAGTAGCCAACCTGCAACACGTAATTTATTTCCGTTTTGCTAATTGTCCCTGAATAAAATAATTCGTTACATAGGTATAATTTTATATGCTTTAGTTTACCGCGCTCCAAAGAGTTCAGAGTGCAGTGCTAAAACGGTTTCACGTAGCGCAGCATTTTCTCTCGCCAATTGTGCCGCCTCGGCTCGTGCCCGTGCTGCCTCCGGCACATTGCCAGCACTGTCGCCGCCATCTTGGCAACCACCTACGCCCAACACTACTGTTTAAAAGATATTCTGCTTCTTAACCGGCCTTATAGTATAATGCGGTTTAAAAGAGTTCTTTATATAAAAAAAAGTATCCAGCCAATGTATAATGTCACCGTAAAAACTGCTAGATTTATAATACCATTTATAATCTAAGAGATTGTAGACTAACGAAAAATTAAGATCCATACCATTCTGTTTATAATTTAAGGCATCACTTTTTGATATAAGTCAAACCACGAAATATATAATGGAATCCACCTCGCGCGCTGACTGGTTGAACGTCATGGGCTCCGCAGTTTGCTAAGTATCAAAGACAAAGCAAGACCAATTACAGACATCTTTCGACGAGTTGATAATTTAAGGAGTGATATATTGGAATCTGATTCTAACGGATTGGCTTCGATAGCTTAAAATCTATCAAAAAGCGAGAAACCGTGTGGAATAACCACAAATAATTTATTTGAAATATTTTTATAGACTGAATCAAAAAATTAAAAGACTGAAAGCTAAATGCATTCAAAAATTCCCCAATCCCAGGTGCCCAAAATGGTTGTGTTAACCAAATATAATAACTCTAATTTCTTTTGCAAGGCAGAAGAGACGAACTAGGGTTGAGCTACATTTGGCAGCACCATATTATATATTTCCATCATCCCATACTTCTCCGTCATTAAAAATCATCATTTGCTAGAGCAGAAACTTAACGGGTGCGCGATAGCTCGTCGCAGAATCCTCGAGGCGGTAGGTAATACGCTATCTTTCTCGCTCTAGCAAAAGGCAGTTCTGAACCACAGAAAGGGGTAGGACGACGGGATAAAACGTTGACGTGTTACCAGATGTAGCACAACATCTATACTGGTCCATTAGTAACTTTACTAATCCAAGCTTTATAAGATAATCCATGATAAAGATTAATATGATTACCAACTGAAGCTGCTCGAGCTTGCACCAATTCTGCTCTCATGTCCACAAGTTCTGCCTGGAACGAAAGAAAGAACACATTATAAACTGAAGCAATATAATGCTACCAATTATCAGACCAATGTAGTGATATTAAGAAGCCTCGTCACAACAATTATTAGCTTAAATGATAAAATGACAACTCGAAAATTTTAAAACATCAACAAATGCCATTTTATTAGCAAACACTGCACTCCACTGACAAAATAACAGGCCAAATTTAGATCTTTTAATCAGATAAGAACAGCGTCGCCGCTGCTGCAAACAAATGGCGGCGTCATATATCAACAGTAATTGTCGTCAGATTTCAGAGAATCATTGTTATACGGGAGCTAATCCGGGCTTGTGGGGTGAGGTCAGAAAAAGGGCGCTCGCCACGTGCTTGCTCTACGTAAATCTGAATCAGTGACCAGATGCCATGGGCATAAATCGTTTGACTTTCGCACCCTGTCTTCTATTTAATTTATCCATATTGGCATGTCGTTTAAGTAAATTTTCAATGTATTTATATTGCCATATAATATTGCTCTATATTGTTAAATAAGAGCTTGGTTTTGGAGTAGATTATATTATTTTTATTATTGCAGACGACAAGTAACAAATTACACAGCATCAGAAAAACAGTATACAAAAGCCGGTCTTAGTGATATATAGCAATATCTTCCAGGCAACTTGTTATACACCGTTCTATTATTAAAAACACAATCATTTTTGATGCAATTCGGTAAAAATAAATACCTAATGGTATCTGTACTTTAAGTAGAGGCTTGCTCATTGAGGAAAAGTTGATCTTGCAGTCAAACCGTTTCGTTTACCTAAAAATTTGTTGGACAACTAAGTTGCCAATAATAATTTGTCGGTGATACTAATATATGCATATTAGGAAAGGAACGTACTATCAGCGTTACCAATATTAAATTCAGAAAAAGAGCTTTCAAAATGGCGCTCATTGATGATTTCAATACTAAAGCAGTTTAAATAAAGCTAGATTTAGCTCTATAACAGCTGTGTTAGCAATACTATCACCATACGCCTCCAGTATAGTACCTATTCAAAGTGCTCGTACTATTCAAACAAACAATCAAGAATCGAAGTTTGTGTTAGTCACGACGGAACCGAATTCGTTGACTCATCATATTTATCTCCTAGTCATCTAATATTTATATCAATTTAATAGTGATTTAAATGGTTAGGGGAAGAAACGTCAATACCAAAACAATCAATCGATCAAAACAAGAAAGTTTCATTAATTATCTAGATTAACGTCAGTTAAAAAACTTAAACGGAAATTAGGTAAAATAAATGTGTTTTGTTTGTTATTTGCTTGATTTATTTTATAATCAATAACTATTATGGAATACAAAAGAATAGAAAGTACCGTTTTTTACACCAAAATTCTAACCTTAATATCATCGGCCGCTGATCTATCTAACCTTAACTAGTAGAATGCGTGAAACAAATGCAATGTCGATATCCATCGCTGCCTGTGGAGTCACCGAATAGTGGTTTACGTGGATAACTTAAAAACTTTGCCGTTGCTACTGTCCAATTTGTTGTAAAATTTTGTTAACAAGAACCAGCTAAAAGGCACATATACGAGGGTCAAACTGAAAGTTCTTAGAAAATCAAAAACTGATTACATTAGCCAGTTATTAGTTTTATTATATCTTTTCAAAATATTGTCCATTCACGTCAATACACCGCTGCATGCGATGGAACCACTGGGAAAAGCACTTTGCCCACTCGTCCTTAGGGGTCTCTTCAATGGCATCGCGATACGCAGCCACCGCTTCTTCAGCATTCATAAACCGCTTTCCTTTAAGTTTTTCTTTAATTTTTGGAAATAAATAAAAATCACAAGGCGCGAGGTCGGGGCTACACGGCGGGTGACCCAGTAATTCAACGTTTGATGTCGCCAAATAGTCGATCGTTCGCTTGGCGGTGTGCGACGAGGCGTTGTCGTGGTGAAGGAGGATCCTACTGCGAGGTCGTTTCTCTCGAACTTTTTCCAAGACAAGTGGCAAACAATTGGTAGTGTACCATTCTGCAGAAACTGTTTTTTGATCCTCTAACACAATTGTTGCAAAATTACCTATCCTTCCAAAGAACGAGGCCACCATTTTTTTTCCCGCACTTCGATCTCTCTTCACTTTAGTTGGCAACTCCTCGAAAGGAAACACCCACTGAGCAGATTGTCTTTTGGTTTTAGGATCATAACAGTAAATCCAGCTTTCGTCACCTGTTAGTATGTCGAACACAGCATTTGAGTCACCTCCGTTAAATCTTTCAATCATTTTACGACACCAATCCACACGATGGAGTTTTTGAGCCTCAGTCAAATTATGAGGTATCCACCGGGCGCAAAGCTTCCTGACCGCTAAATGTTCGTGGAGGATTTTGTGTACTTGACTCATACCGATGCCTAAGCTTGTCCGAATCTGTTGATAGGTCACTCTTTTGTCAGTCTCTATCATACGCCGCACAACACAGATGTTATCTTCAGTCGTCGCCGTAGAAGGCCGTCCCTCACGTAAATCATCAGTGAGATTAGTGCGACCACGTTTAAACTCATTAAACCAGTTGTAAACAGTCGCACGAGATGGGGCTTCATCGTGAAAGGCCAATCGTAGTCTATCATAACTTTCTTGTTGACTTAAATGACATCGAAAGTCATAAAAAATCATTGCACGAAAATTTTCTCGTGTTAAATTCATGATGACGTGACACAGACAATTTTCAATTTGCCGCCAAATCGTAAAACAAATGACAAATGAATGAAATATATACTCAGTAATATTGGCAAAGAGTTATATTTTCAAATTTTAGAATTATTTTTTTATTATATTGTTTATAAGTGGCCAGTTCTAAGAAGTTTCAGTTTGACCCTCGTATATCGAATTAAGATACTCGAGTAGAGAAGTTAATGTAAGGAAAGTATCTTCACGGCATTAACGCCGTTCGTCTGCCTGTCTGATCATTGCAAAACCTCAACTAGGATTTAGCATGAGAACCATGCCTTGTGCCATTATCCTCGGGTACGTGATGATTATGGACTATACAGCATGAGCATGTCTAAGTAGACACACGGCTGTTTGCAATGCTGGTGGATATACGAAGGCCACTAATAATATTCCACGGTTTGTTCATAACATTGTCTACGGTAAAGGCAACATCGATAATCAATAAACACGACCTACGCACAATTCATCCGAGATCATTATCGCCTGAATCGCGAGTGGGAGTGGCTTTTAACGAGCGATTGTGAATATTATAACAAATATAAAGAAAGCGCATACCATTCCACTAATATGCAATATAAAACATAGCAATATATGAACAGTTACCGCTTCTACTACGAGACAATGAATGCGGTTCATTAGGGCCTCAATAAAATGCACCGAATAGCCTTTGGCTATGTAAATGCCTTATTCTGTGACAACTTGCGCAATGCTTTATCTCATCTATAATTGAGAAGTCAACTCATCGCAATTATACGACAACCATATGAAACGTTTATGACATCTGGCATGTATTTTGAGTGGTTGCCGAAAGCACTCTCTTGAAGGTGTAATGGACGCCGATCGAAGATAAGGTTCTCGACGTAAGATTGATTCACAGCGGCTATGTATCGTATCAGTGTATCTCTCATGCATACATGATTCTATTGACTGGCGCACGCGCCGTCGACCACGTGTAGATCTTTGAGTTTATTTATTCACACATAACCTACGATCA